GTTGCATAGGTACCTGTTCAGTAATACAATATATATTGTTTTCTAGGAAAAAAAATACATCAAATAATTTATTAGGTTTGTGTTTTCCTAGAAGAGTTAGGGTTCATAAAATTATCAAACTTTCTCATTACAGATTAAATGTTGCCATTCTTTTGCTAGAAGGGAATGGGGTGGAGGTTGTATCTGGGTGGATAAATAAAAAAAAATGAAAATTAGAACATTTAGGTGTAGAAAGGTTAATATGAACTTTTTGAAAATCTTTTAAATAATAAATGACAGCATATTAGAAGCTGTTGTTGTTGTGCTGGACTGTTTATCCAATAAATGTCATAGGATAAAGTTATAATAAAGTTTAAAGATAATATCATAATTTTGAATAAAATATAAAATTTTCATTTAGATGTAGGTAATATAAACACATGAAAAATGATAAAAGAAAAATATTAGACTGATAATTTAAAAAAATAAAAATAGATATATTTACCTGCTGGGTAAAAGGAAACTACAAAGAACTACAAAAGACGTGCTTGACGCAGCKCCGTGACGCTCGGCGTCAGTTTGCGTCAATTTGCCGGGAATGTGGAACCACGTGTTTACCGGTTCGCTCGCGTCGCCTGGCTGTTCTTCCTCTGATTCATGGGCTGGTCAGGGAGTGGGTAAGATGGCGGCGGAGGAGACGTTAACAGCGTGCAATATGGATTTATTCCTAATGGAAACACTAGGCGAGGTAAAGAATAAAATCTATTGTTTATTTCTGCTCGTAACATCATCGTTTCTAGACTTTTATCTGTAGTTCTGTAGGCCGGAGGTAGTGTGTACAGGCTGTCCTCTCTTTCTGCGCATGGAAAAGTGACACGTGGATGAGACAGTAGTGTTTTATTCTATCAGCTTTTTAAAAATCACACACTGTTGTGCGAATACAACAATTTTATTACCCTGTTTACATGTAATTAAGCTACTTTTGTTTTTGAAAGGGCTTGTTTTGCAGCTCTAAACGAGCTGGCATTGCTCGACTGGGCACACAACAGCAGGATTTATCCATCATAATATAAACAGGCTCTGCAGTATGTGAAGTGACAGTTGTGGGTTGTTGTTAGAAATGAATATGGCTGATGTTTGAGGTGTGTAATTTCTGTAAGAAATGTAGCTCAGAAGTTTTTTTTTTGTACGAGTTCTGTGTTAGTGTACAAATGGTCACATACACGTGGTGACTTAATTTAAATATCCTGTACAGCCAGGTATTTTATATTTGTATAGTCACATATTTAGTGAAGTCCCACTTTAATTTTCTCAGTGGATTAAGTCAAGTTTTGTTAATTTTTGTCTGAGTGAGTCAGAGTTTGACACCGGCGCATTGCAGCAAATAATGTGTCATCAGCTGTGTTTTCTGCGCTCATTATTAAAGTTTTGTAATTTATATAGATTAATTGTATTTGGGGTAAAATCACACGTGACTGCAGGCTTTATTGCCGCTGTAAAGGGACAGGTTTTCATTCAAAATCTCTGTSTAAGCCACATGTGGTGGTTCACATGCGGGGTTCGTTCACGCATGCGCAGAGGAAAGTATAAACTTTGCTGTTTTATGCTATACGCAAGTCGTTTTTTACAGTTTTAGAATAACAAATGATAATATATCAACACTTATCGTTAGATTAAGATGCAGTTTTAGTTGTAACTTTTATTCTTAAGTTTAAATAGCCTGTTTTGTTGTAGTAGCTCTGTGTATGTAGCCTTCCTGTGTACGGCAAGAGGGAAGGGTCAAACATGGCGTTCTGTGTGGACACACGTGGGTTACTGAGGGAAAAAGACTGGGAGCTTCAAAATTTGTCATTTTATCTTCATACTAAAGGAATATTATTGCTGCTTTTAGGTGTTTCGTGTTTAATAATTAGTTTTACATATTTTGCACATTTAAATGATTAAAACTATCGACAAATTTAAATAGTTTAAGGTTGGRGGTTATGAGTTGTTTATTCCTGAATTTGAATTGAATGTGTAAATGGTTGTAAACGTTCATATAATCAGATTTAAATCTACATGGATCAATAATTGAGAATTTAACTTTTACTAATGCAATAATCTACAAGTCTAGTGTGTCTCATTTGTTTATTTCAGTTTGTTTAAGAAATCGCTTTTTTATTCTAAATGAAGCTGAAACATTGTGTAGTTCTTTGCTCATATTTCCCWTGAGAAATAAGGAACTAAAGTTAGTCACGGCTACACAGAATAGATTTAAAATTACAGAGGTTTGTCAGTATGTTCATAAGCACATATGACAAAATATGTAATGTATTTAGTCAAAAGGCAACAATAAATTAATGTCCAGTACCATATGTTGTGCTATGGGCAATTTTACTTGCTGCACTTCTATTCAAAAATATTTTAGAGCATTTGTTTGTCCACTGTCAGTGTTTCCACTACTTTTACCAAACACATCTTCTGATTAATAATTTTTCACAAATAAATCTATCTTTTGCTTCTTTTAGGCTGGACTCAGTTCATTAGAACCTCTGGAGTCTCTTCAAAGCTGCATAGATCCCTCTATCATTTCTATGATTGAYGACATGTCAACYATAGAGGCAAGACTGAGGTTACCTTTGTGTTTYAAATGTTAGCTTTTGTTAATTCTTGTAAACAAATAACTTTGTKGCTGGTGTGTTCCTGTAGACTAAAGGCTTCGATGCAGAGAGTGAGACCACGCTGCTTACAGCCCTGACGGAGATCTTAGACAACGTGAATGATGAGAACCCGTCGCCGTTCGACATGCTACCTGACTCGGACTTGCTGTCCAGTCAGAAGGACAGGGAACAGTCTCCGGTCGGTYCACAGCTGCTACTACCAGACATGTGCAACGTTTAAACTAACTTTTGTCTCATTCAGCGGACTGATGTAGCAATAACGTCTCTGTGCTCCCGTGTCTCCTTTAGCTCAAGAGAATCATGTGTTTGTCTCATTCTCTGCAAGACAAAGATGCACTCTCTGACACCAGACCTTCCACTGAAAAGGTAAGGTTTTTAACTCTTCTAAGCCTCGGTAAACTGCAGACAGATGAAAGTTTGATTATTTGTCCCTCCTTGTGTACACAGAGCCTATTCAGGATCCAGACAAACTCTCTCCAGAGAAGTGACGGCGAGGAAGAGGAGGAAGGTTCTTTTACTCTGAGCCCAGACAGACATGGCTCATGTCCTGAAACTGGTCTGTTTGGCTGGGAGGGTCTGTCCCTCCCTCTTCCGATCACCTTTGAACAGGAGAATGAAGATAGTCTCGCTGTAAGTCTTGGAGACTTAGTTAGACACATGCACCCATATTGCATCCCCATATCTGTAGAGAACGAGACGGGGGAGCACCTGTTGCCCGAAGGAGGCATATTTCTTGAAGTTGTGGATCAGGGAGAAAACGGAGAACCTATCTTGGCCATCCAAAATATGGACCTGCCTTCCTCCGAGCCTCTCACAGAGATGAGTTTGGAAAATCAGGCGCAAGCTTCAGATGAAGCAGAGGAGGAGCCTTCTGACAGCTCAGAGCAAATAGTAGTTGATGATGATGAAGATGATGTGCTGCTCAAAAATAAATGTGCAATTGCTGCTACGGTCACTTCAGTTCTACAATCGYATGTGAAAAATGAAGTTGTCTTTCGGAGACCGAAGGAAAAGAAAACAAAGACCTCCTCGCGAAGAAAAAAGAAGAAAAAAAAAGAGCAGCAGCCTACCCATGTGGAGGGAAGGGTTCTGAGGAGTGGTACCATCACAAAACCAGCACAGAAAATACAGAAGAAGCCTGAAAGAGAGTTGATCAAAGAAGAGAAGAAGATAAAAGGCCCCAGTGTTTCCTTAAAATCACCTCAACCTCTTCTAAACTCTAAAGAAATGAAGCCACGCAGAACTGAAATGCAAACCGAGAACACCACTACAGCATCACTGACTGTGAGAAACGAGAAATCTGCTCCACTGTCACCAAGTCTGAAAACAGTTCCATCAACTACTCCTGATAATGACTGTTCAGCCAGCGCAGGGAGCTCTCAGCCCCCAAAACCTCCAAAACAGCCCACCATGCCTTGTGTTGAGGCTGAAAGCTCATCAGCAGCCCCCTCTGTTCCCCCCTCCCTGGTATCTTCTGAAAGCCCCGCAGCTGCTCCAAGCTCAGAGGTTCCAGAMACCCCCCCGCCTGTTAATGCTGTCCTGCCGGCCCCAGAACCCAAACCCAAGTTGCTCAGTCTCGACGAGTACCGACGGCTTCGGCAGCAGAAGAAGCCGGCCCCGGTGGAGAAACCAGACAAGAACATCACCAAGTGGCCCACCCTTCCAGAGCTCCCCAAAGAGCTCCAGCCCATACCGTGCCTGCCCTACCCCAGTCCCAAGGACCCCAGACGTCCCAACGCGCACGTCGCAAAAAGGGAAGTGGAGGAGGTCGAGCCTGCTTGGCAGCCAAGGGGCCCGGGAGCCCCACCCACCCCCGAGGCGCTGTTGGTGCCACCCGCCTACATGATTTCTTCATCCAGCAAGGTTGCATCAGCTGCTGCAGTTCACAAACCCCCACAAACCCAAGAACCACCCAAACTCCCCGAGCAGCCTCCGACTCTTTGTTCCGAGAAGAYTTTAGCCACACGTCCACACACCGCTGCCAATCCTACAGTGTCCTGCGAGTCTCCAGCTTCTTCAAAACCTGCAAACCACTCGACGTCTTCAGCTGATGGAATGGTTTCTGGAGTTCCAGGTAATAAAGATGGGGTTGATGGCCCAGCCCAGTCACAGTCTGTATCCCTAAAGTCTGGAGATCTTACTAAAATATGCCCTGTGACTGAACCAGCCGTCGCTTCTGGACTTGCACCGAGTGCCCCTCTGAAGACCACCATCTCTCAGAAGATACCCGAGGTCACTGCTTCTACCTCGTTAACTGACCCGAAGAGCAAATCCTCCAAACTCGCAGCCTGTAGCGTCAAACCTTCTCCTGCTGCTCTTACATTAAATACCTGTACTCCTAAAACACAACGTGTCATGCTTGAATCTAAAGAAAAACCAACTAACCAAAAAGCAAAGGATGCTACGCAGGAGCTGATTGAGGCATTTGCTGGTGAAATAGGTGAGGTTAATGATTTACAGCATCAGTTTTTGTTAGAATTCTTAAATACATAATTACTACATCAAAATACTTGTTTTTTTTATTTCTGAAGGTATTGAAGCTGCTGATTTGACCAGCTTACTTGAACAGTTTGAAGAGACCCAAGGTAATTATCAAATTGTAATGATTATAATAAAGTGCTTAATTTTTCTTTCAAGTTTAATTCTGATGTGGGTTGATTCTGGTCTGCAGCATAGAAGGCACTGAGCTGGATCAGTTTCTAAGTTTTATCTGGGGTGAAAAGTAGCACACAACATTGTAGTGCTGTCTTTTGTTAAAGTCCTGTTACACTATAATGTTTCAGACAACTTATACCTACTTATAAAACTTCTTTCCAACACTGAACATGGAATAAAAACAATCTACTGGGAGCCTTTTTGGACATAAACATATTGCTAATGATTAGATTGAATATGTAACCTATATGGAGTGATATAGTCGTGACAACATTTTCACAAGTTAGCAAAAGTTTAAAATGCTGTAGTGTGACAGGGCCTTTAGCACTGGTGGGTCAAATTAAAGGTATCTGAGACCTGCATAGAGAGCCTACAAATAAATGGTAAATAAATGTGACCAATGGTTTTTATTCTATTATTAATCCTAAAAAAAACAGTTTACATAGAGTGTTTTGGGGACTTGTGACTATTTATTATAAATTTTAGCTCTACTTAAACATTTATCTTTAAGAGGAGTCGATCCTGCAGAGGYACTTCTTTATGCTTCCGTCTGCTCAGCGGCTGGAATTTTGCCTTGTCTGCAAATCCATTAAACTCTCACCCTGCAGGCTTTGTTTGGGCGGATGTACAGGGCTTCACACAGTGCAACAAGTGTTTCATGTGTACATTGTGTYCATTCAGTTTTGTCATTGAAGTGCCAGGCTTTGACTTTTTGTTAGCAAACCGTTTATTCCACGAGAAGTTAATTAAAGTGCCTGACATGAAGGTTTYCAAATAAGTATAAGGCATRARTGGAAAGGTAACATTATTAGCATATTGCAAAAATAACTTCCTGCTGCTGAGATGAACAGTTGTTGAGATATTTGCATGTGAAGCAACAGGAAGTGATGTCAAATGCGACTATCTGCATGGAACAAAGCATTGATAAAACAGCTAACGACACAGACTGTAGAGAAGAATCTGATGTTTCTTTAGATGATTTTGAGTCTCTATCAGAAAGAGATGAAGACGAGTCAGAGTTCAAATGGTATTCTTTCAATAAACAAAGACCAGAGAGTTCTCTTTCTTAAAAAGTTCCCCTTTGATGTCACTTCCTGTTGCACTTTGACTGAGCAAAGTTCAAAAGAAAATATGCCATTTGTGTGACAAAATTTCTTAAATAAAAACGGGTTTTCTTTGACTTTTTGRATTCGATGGATAGCCATGTCACATGCACTTTAAAGAAATGTAAATGCTACAGATATTGACAAGTTTTATTAATGCACTTAAACTTTCCTATCACTGTTGGTTCATGTGCTGATGCACTTTTATCCCTGTTCCCTCTTCCATCAGTGAAAGACAAACAATGTGTGCCGGAGGTCTCTGGTAGAGCAGCAGCTGTAGGAAACTCGAGGTGAGTTACCCTACAGCCTCCAAGCTGCTCTGTATGAGTGACTGAATGATAGAAACAGTCAGAACTGGAGGAGTGAAARCAGTTTGTGTGCGTGTGACTGAAGGTGACGCAGGTGCACCTGTTGCCAAGACCTACCGCAAAACTCTGTCACTGACTGGCCTCAGTAGTGACTATCRAAAAGTAAAAATAACGTTAAGCTGAGTTAATTTGCCCTGCTTGCTTTGCAGAACTGATCCGGTTCCAGAGAAAACTGTAATAGAGCGACTAAGAGCTACTGAACTCTCAACCACTGCAGGTAAATCAATTTAAACGTTAGTAAGTTAGTTTATTTTCTTTTTTAATACTTCTGTTTCCCCAGTGCAACTCAGTTCAGTAGATATACTTGTCTAAATTGCTAATAAATCATTAAATCACATTATTGTGATGTTTATTTCCTCCCTGTGCTTTAGCTCTGACCCCTCCAGCCACACCTCCCCAACAGATGTGGAAGCCTCTGCCCACTTCACCTCTGCAGGTGAAAAGCAAAGCGGCTGAGACCACCAGGCAGAGTCTCTCCAAGGTTATCCAGATAGAAGCGCAGCCTCTGCCCTCTGTTAGGTCCCGTGGCAAATCCACSCCCGCTGCTGCGTCTGTAGCTCCTGATCTGGCATGCATGGATCACGACTACTGCCTCCCAAACAAAGGCTCATCCACCGAAGAGCCAGTCAAGCGTTGGAATGTTAAACAGCAACCGGTCATCACTATAAAGCCCATTCAAGCTTCAACCACTACACAAACACCCTCAGCTGCCGCGGCTCCATCAATCCAGCCTGTTAAAGCTCCTGTGGTTCCTGTCAAAACGCAGGTTTTCCCACAGTCTGACCATTTGCAGAAGAGGGCAAGTGATGGGCCAGGTGAATGCTCTGTTCTGGAGACTCCGGATGCTTCTCCAACTCAACAGGAGTCTGAATCTTCTTTTAAAGTCTGGAGCCCCAGAAGAGATCCATCAAAGAGGTCCTATCGTCGACACGCTYCTTCTCGTTCACCCAGTCCCAGGTGTAGTCCCAAAACAAGAACAGGTGGGAGATCGAGAAAAAGAAGATCCCACCGTTCTCCCAGTCCCGTGTCCAGCTGCTCAGACTCCTATTCTTCCAGATCTCGGTCCAGATCATGCTCCCCACCAAAGAAAAGGTTCGTCCTTCTATCGAAACTTCGGGTGAATTCAGAAGTTCACCTCTTTCAAAAACATCTGATTTTGATTTTATTTCTCGTGCYTCGCTTTCGATCTGCAGGTATCGATCCCGCGGCTCGGACAGCAGCTCCAGTTCATCTCATTCCTCYTCTCGTTCTCCCTCCGTGTCCCGCTCGCCTCCCAAGAGGAGGAGGAGAAACTCTTACTCCTCGTCTCGCTCGGGCTCCTGGAGTCGTTCCAGGTCCCGGTCCCCTCAAAGACAAACMCAGTGGAAAAAAACCCGACGGCTGTACAGGTACAAAATATAAAAGTTGCTTATTGTAGTGTCGTTTGAATTAAGCATCACAATATCTGTGACACTTAAAAAAAATGAAGTAAACTAAAGCTTTAATATCTTCTCCAGCCCCTCATACAGGCCCAGACATCATCATAGTGCAAAAAGAAATATGGAAGAATCAAAGATCCGCAAAGAACAAGCCATTGTAAGTGTATGCTTTTCTAAAACTATATATATACACACACACACACACACACACACACACACACACACACACACACACACACACACACACACAC